GATAAGTCTCTGTGTCATTATTTGTGAACTGGTGGCCCAAAGAAAAATCCGACTACACACCTTGGCCTCCTGAGTGCTGTATCTCTCTCTTGAATTAAAGTGAATTTATCATTTTAAGATTTTTTATTTGTTTGTTTGCTTGTTGGCCTTTGCCTGTTCATGTGAATTCATTGTCCTATTTATCCTGCTCTCAATAAAAAAATAAGGTGGTAATTTGACTAAACATCTACCCACTGAGAAGTGAACAGGTAAAATATTAGTGAATTCCCGTTTTAATTGTCTTGAATATTTTTCTCACCTTTAAAGGAAGTCTTATAACTAAATTTGACTTAGAATTCATTTACATTTTCTTCTACAAGTCTTATAATTAAAATTCTAGAAAGGAAAACAGATACAGTCAGGAATCAACTGTAAAATGGCACCTCTGATGAGAATCTACATCTGGAAAATAAAAGTTAAAGATATGGAACAAACTGAGTTAATTAATACTTCCCTTAGTAACAGCAGTTGGCTAAATAGATGATTCAGAACTACTCCAGGGAGAGTGAGATGGCTCAGTGGGAAGGAGTGTTTTGATCCCTGGAACCCACATAGTGAAAGGAGAGGACCAATTTTGGCATATTGTCTTCTTACCCAGTCTCTAACATGCATGTCATGACATGTGTCCCCCACACACAAGTAAATAAATGCAGATTTGGTACAGATTCACAGTTTTAAGAAATACAGTGTATCCTTTAATTCCTCTTTTAAAGCAATCAATCCCTTAAGCACTGGATGTGGTGGTGTCTGCCTACAAATATTAGCACTTGGAAGACTGAGACCATCCTCTGCTAACACCATATTCTAGGCCAGCAGAGGCTATATAGCAATAGCCTCAATGGCGTCCAACGTGGTGGCAAGAGTTTCCACCTAAAAACTGAGAAAAAAGATTCTAAAACGGAGTTAAAACAGTTCCTAATTGTCTCTCTCAAATGAGCGGCAGCTGCCGGTTTGAGCTACTTGTGGGTTCCTAGCGTGCACGCTTGACCTGCCGTATGGCGGGAATGAGGCCTCTGCAAGTGGCACATTAAGCTGCGTGGTGGATTTAGCCTTTGCTAGTACAAAACAAAAAAAGAAGTTTCTGGGCTACACGCTGCTTGGATAAAAGCATAGACCCACGATAGCTCCCAGAGCTGGTGGAAAACGTACCACCGCCATGTTGGGAAGCTGAGGTGGGCGGAGCCAGCAGCCACAGCTGCTGCAGTTTAAAGCAATAGATTCACAATAAGACAGATTCAGATGTAATGCTTTATAATGTGTGTAAAATATACGTAGGCTTGAAAGAGACAAAAAAGGTGATATATACAGTTATATAAACAAATACCTAGTTTTAAAAAATAAAGTCTTTAAAGAGACAGTAAAATTAATATAAAGAATAAGCCATGTGAAGATGAATATTACACAGAGAATCTGGATTGTGTTGTCTTTGGGATTTTTAACTGCAGAAAAACATTTGATCGTAAAAGATGTTGAGGTAAACCAAAATGTGTATTTTACAGGTACCTTGACTTCAAAATTTGGATATAAGGATATGTTGCTTTGGAAAAGAGGCTCTGCTTTTGTTTCCACAGAAAGCCAGAGGCTATGGATTTGTTCCAGATTAAGATACATCAGGTTTGACCAGCCAAGACCACCTGAAAGGTCTCCGATGACACCATGGCCCAGATGATCCAACATCCAGAACCGTTTCAAGGCAACTGGCTCAGACGATACAGCCTCACAGACTACTCCATAATCCTAAAATTTTCTTTGTGTCCCCATAAGATACAGCGCCCCCCTCCAGCAGGAAGTAGTAAGAGAAGCTACGCTCAAATTCCCAAATTATATGTAATTTTACTTTGTTAAGGATAAAACCTTCCTTTTTGGAAAAAAAAAAAAAGAAAGAAAGAAAGAAAGAGAGAAAGAAAGAAAGAAAGAAAGAAAGAAAGAAAGAAAGAGGAAGTGCTGTGGGATGGTCTGTATGTCAAATGTGTTGCTGATTGGTCAATAAATAAATCATTGATTGGCCAGTGGCCAGGCAGGAAGTATAGGCGGGACAAGGAGGAGAATAAAGCTGGGAAGTGGAAGGCTGAGTCAGAGAGACACTGCCAGCCGCCACGATGACAAACAGCATGTGAAGATGCCGGTAAGCCACGAGCCATGTGGCAAGGTATAGATTAATGGAAATGGATTAATTTAAGCTGTAAGAACAGTTAGCAAGAAGCCTGCCACGGCCATACAGTTTGTAACCAATATAAGTCTCTGTTTACTTGGTTGGGTCTGAGCAGCTGTGGGACTGGCAGGTGAGAGAGATTTGTCCTGACTGTGGGCCAGGCAGGAAATTCTAGCTACACCTCAATTTCAAATTTAACTACAAAGCTTTGTGTGGGGGGGAGAGGGGCCTCAGTGGGTAAAGATGCTTGATGTACAAGCCTGACAACCTGAGTTTAATCCCTGCATCTATGGTGGAAAGAAAGCACCAACTTCTAAAGGCTACCATCTGACTTCCATGCTCAACGTAGCGCATAGGTGTTAGCACACATACATATATACGAAATAGTACTAAAAACAACAATGACAAGCATTAAGTCTAAGGCCTTGTGTATGCAAGGCAGGTTTTCTCCCACTAATCTACATCTCTACCCCTTCTAGGATACTTTTTAAACTCTCAGTCAACCATTCAACTTAGAAATGAAAACCTGACTTAGTAAGAATTTTTATATTATTACTTTATATGTACAAGTGTTTTGTCTGAATGTATTTCTATGTACTACATGCATACAGTGCCCCCAGAGGCCAGAAGAAACTTGGAACTAAAGTTACAGATGGTTGTGAGCCTCATATAAATGTTGGGAATTGAACCCAGGTCCTCTGGAAGAGTAGCCAGTGTTCTTAACTACTGACCCATCTCTCCAGTCCCCTGAATTAATGTTAAAAACAAAAAACAAAACAAAACAAAACAAAACAAAAAAAACTTAACCTATTTCATACAAAACAAAACAAAACTGCAACACATACCTTATTTGGAAATATGTCAAAGAATAACTGCCTTAGGTTCTAGGTTCCTGCACAAAACATTTTTTATTGTGTGTGTGTGTGTGTGTGTGTGTGTGTGTGTGTGTGTGTGTGTGTATAGTATGTGTGTTTTTGTGGGCATGTGTGTGTGTGTGTGTGTGTGTGTGTGTGTGTGTGTGTATATAGTATGTGTGTTTTTGTGGGCATGTATATGCACAGATGTGCCATGGTGCAGGTCAGAGGACAACTTGAGAAAGCTGGTTCTTTCCTTCCACCATCTGGATCTGGGGATCAAATTCAGATCAAATTCACTGGCCCCATCACTTCTTAATACACCTTTATTTATAACACTTACTTCTTCTTCCTTTCACCAAAATTTATTTTAAACATTTAAAAATTCCTCACTTTATATAATAGGTCATTTATATATATTTTCACTCCCCAGTGCTAAGGGCTAGGATTAAAGGTATATGCCACCATATAAACTTTGAAAAGTTTTCCATGGTCAGTACATAAAAATTATCATCATTCTAACTAGTACATAGTGTTCTCTAAAAGATCTACCGAATTTTAACCAATCTCCTACTCATGACATATGGTTGTTAACATTTGCTATTATAATATGTTGCCTTAAAAATTTACATAATTCTTTGTGCTTATAAGCAATTGGGACTCTAAGTGCCTATTCAAAAAGAACTACAGGTATTAGGCTAGGTACCCTTAAAACTTCTAACAACTGCTTGAAGATTGTGCGATCAAAAGGCTCTGCCTCGTACTATCCTGTAAGTACTGTGAACAAAAGGTTCTGAAAAGAATCCACACTTTCCAGTGAGCATTGTGCAAGGCAGATTAACTGAACAGAACTTCCCTGGCTGTGGAAAGGTTGGAAGGCTGCAGGTCCAGACTTAATTACAAGAGAAACCCTGTCTCGAAAAAAAACAAAAAAAAAGCAATGTCAGAGAAACTACACCCGTGAAGTCTCACCAGCATGGCTTGCCTACACAAAACCTGAACAGGGGTGAAACCAATAGATAAGCTAACATGGAAAAGGAAGTTCATGAGGCCTCAACCCTAGACAAAGCTAAGGAATACTGAGAGTGAGAGAAACAGTATTCCTCAAGGAGGGGCATGCCAATTGGTTATCTAATATCATATGGTGAGGCCTGAAAACACACACATACAATTAATATTATATGGACTGAGCAGGCTGTATTTGTATATTTAGGAATACATTCTCTCACACACACACATACATTCAACAACAATTAAAGAAAAAAGGTCAGGATTTTGAGAAAGAACAAGGGGTTGTACAGGGAGGGGAGGGAGGAAGGAAAGAGAAGGGGAAATGATGTAATTATAATCGTGAAGAGTTCGAGGCCTGGACTACCAAGTGAGTTCCAGGAAAGGCGCAAAGCTACACAGAGAGACCCTGTCTCAAAAAAAAAAATTATAATTAAACAAAAAAAACCTTCAAAGTTATTACAAATTCTACTAGCATTATGAAAGGGAACAAAAATAAAGACAATGGTTCACCAGTAGGTGAAGTGATAAATGGAGGCATATCCATATAAAGAACACTACTGAGCAAAAAACACAAAGTAAATGTTAAATACTTTGTTCAATGACAGAGGCCAGACAAAGAGTCTCACATACTGTGATTCCACCGACAGGACAGTCACTAAGAGCGGCAGTGGGAGACAAGAAGAGCAAGGGATATGTTGGAGAGGGACTGGGCCACCACAGATCAGAACCATCAAATGGTAGACTATAAGCTGTCCTTCACTTTACATAATTATCACTCTTAGTAAGCCATTTTTAATGTTTTTATAAAAAATTTAAATAGATACAAATAAATTAAAACTGTATCACAAACTCTATCAATATTCTAAGGGAGTTCACATTTAAGTGAAATGAACCCATGTCACAAGCTGGTTTTCAAGGGTGTTGTGTTTAATTTTCACAATTACCTGTAGAAGATGGTGATTTCTCTGAATGTTTTGCATTCAGTAGTTTTCTGCTAATAAATATGTAACCACAGGGACATGATTTACATGCAACAGGAATCTGCAGGGAAAAAAGAAAACTTGGATTACTCTTCTCCCATTGTTAGATTTCTCAGGACTTAGGAAGTCTCTCGGTAATAAACTGCTTGAAGAACCACAGATTAAATGAAAACCACTTTGAGATAGTTATCATTTCACAAACATTCACATTTTCCTAGTGCTTATGACACTGAAATACCTTATGGTACCACTGTGATAAATACTAACGCAATGTCAGCGTGTGTAATAATGATAATGGAAACTGAAAAATTAGATCAGCTACATTTCACAGAAAGAAAAAACAAGAAATGGATCCAAACCAACTACTGGTCATGTGAGCAGAACATAAACTGAGGGTTAACAGCACAGGAGGAAAAACAGGCTCTTTTTTTTTTTTTTTGCATTAAAGTACTGAACACTGGGCCGGGCATGGTGGCACATGCCTTTAATCAGCAGAGACAGGCAGATCTCTGGGAGTTCAAGGCCAGCCTGGTCTACAGAGTGAGCTCCAGAACAGCCAGGGCTGTACAGAGAAACCTTGTCTTGAAAATCCAAAAAAAAGGGTACTGAACACTGGCTCTTTTTCATTTTTAAAAACTTATTATTACTAGTGTGTACATGTGTAGGAGAGAGGTGGGGACACTGTAAAGTCCATCCTCTCCTTCCACTTTTACTTGGCTTCAAATTCAAGGCATAAGGCTTGCATTCATGCAGACACCTTCACCCACTGAAGCACCTCAGCTGCCCTGGTTTTGCTGGTGGAGACAGGGTCTCGTGTGGTCTAGACTGGCCGGGCTATGTATGGCAAAAGCTACCCCTGAATTCTTAATTCTCCTGCCTCTCCCTGCCAAGTGCTGAGATTGCAAGCATGGATAACCGTCCTGCACAACGTAAGATCTTTAATTTACACTTAACAGACAACAAATGGGGCCTACAAGATCTTGCAAGTCTGATGACCTAAGTTCAATACCAGGTAAGGGGTAGGAGAGAACCAACCCTGAAGGGCTGTACTCTCCATACACATATGGGAGCACACATGCTTGCACGCACGCGCGCGCGCGCGCGCGCGCGCGCGCACACACACACACACACACACACACACACACACACACTATAACCTAACTAATTAGTCAATTAATTTAAAAAGGAGAGAACAGTAGAACCCAGTGATGTGGGCTTATAACCTTATTAGCACAGGAGGCTAAGGCAGGTAGCCCCAAGTTCAAGGCCCGTCTGGGCTATACAATCAGTTCAAATTTAGTTTAGACAGCCTACTTAGACACTGTCTCAAAAAATTAAAGTTAGGAATGTAATGGCTCAGTGGCAGAGCACTTGCCTAGCATGTACAAGACCCCAGGTTCAACACTGAATACCACCAAAAGAAAAATATGAAGAAAACGAAATCATTAGAAACCTGTTTCCACAATTAACAGGTGAAGATTGACTTTGAGACTCAGGTGCCCAATGACTAATTCAACTGATGAGATGATTTTTCTTTAATGAGTTCAACTCAAGACACTTTCCTACAACAGAGTTAATGCATTCTAAAGTCCTGTTTAAAAGTGGAATGTCCCTCTCAACTCCTGCCCCAAAAATCTGTAACAAAACCAAAAAAAACCCACCACAGCCAGATCCTATAAAAAGAATCTTCAAACAGGTTGGACAACTTGAATAATGTGAGTCTCATTAAATTATTTATACAAATGCCCTAAACACCCCTTAAATTTCATTTTAAGATAAAAATTTAAGTTCTAATGCTATACTTCCAATTTTTTAAAGGGAAAACATCCGAAGTATTGTTTACTAAGATTTATTATTCATCAATTCATTCTTTGGAAAGTATTATTTAGGTTGTTTATTTTAAAGAGAAAGGGAAAAAAGGGGGTCAGCTACACATTTGTTCAATGTCACATTACTGAGGTCTATATACTGTGGGATGTCTTTCTGTTTGCTGTGAAAATGTGTTGCTCTGACTGGTTGATAAATAAAATTGCACTGGCCTATGGCAGGGCAGGATGGAACCACACAGGAAAATCCAAGAGAGACAGGGGAGGAGAAAGGAGAGTGAAGCAGACGCTGCCAGCCGCCGTCAGGAGAAGCAAGATGTAAAGTACTGGTAAGCCACAAACCACGAGGCAAGGTATAGATTCATAGAAATGGGTTAATTTAAGATGTAAGAGCTAGCTAGCAAGAAGCCCACCAAGGCCATAGTTTGAAAATAATATAAGCCTCTGTATGTATGTATGTTTATTTGGGTCTGAGTGGCTGCGGGACCAGGCAGGACACAGAAAAACTTCCAACTACATCTATACTCATGTCTAGCACAAAACAGACATTCACCAAATATTTGTGGGGGAGGGGGGACCTACAGATATAAAAATGACAGCACTGCTAAAATTTGGACTTGAAATTGTCCAGGACCAAAAACAAAGAGAGAGGAAGAAAGAGAAAGAGAGATAAAAGATTTGGGCACTACAGTATTTTTTTTTTAATCCCTAAAATAACTAAAACCAATACAGAAGACTCATTTATAGAAATCTCATTATTTTTCCTTTCTGAGGTTTTAGTTACCTAAAGTCAATAAGAAGGATAAAAATGGCAAAGGATATTTAGAAAGAGATTGAGGTTGTTGATGCAAAAACACAGCACTTACATCAAAAGGAGAAAGAGTTATGCTGGAGCTAAATGTGAGTAACCAGGGCCTAGGAACAGATGTAGGTTACCCCAAATTCTATGTTCCAACATGAAAGCAGTTCCATGAAGTTTTCACAGTAACAGAGCAGAGTCAGAGATCAAAGCACTTCTCAAACACACTAGTGAAAACATTAAGTAGGAAGGCACAGCAAAGCAGAAAAATCTTCACTATAGGACTCAGATGCTGTCTGATAAAACTTTTAGCCCTTTGATTGGTAGAAAATTAGGTTTTTAAGTTCATTCATCCCAAAAGCTTTTTATCTTTTCAGATTTAGGTCTGACACTGAGCAAGGCAGAGAACAGTTTTTTGTAGGCTAAAGATAGCTCACATTGCATGGGCCTGTAACATTCCACCCTCTCCACATAACTGAAGTTTGAATCAATCAGCCTTTGTAGACAGTTTCATTTCTGGAATTCTCGTTAACAAGACATCACAGAACTTTTATTAGAATACATTGTTCTAATCGTTCTGTTTAATTATTAGCTATTGACTACGTATGCCTAATTTACAGATTTCATTATAGGTGCATGTACATATGCAAAAACACAGCACAGACAGGGTTAGCACTGTCTTAGATTTCGGACATATACTACGGATGTTAATGTATCTGCCCAAAATAAGGGCAAGTATTGAGATTCTTCTGTGTTAAACAGATCAGAGACGGGTATGGGTTACAACATACACACTTGCTAGATATGAAACAGATATGGAAAAACAGTGCATTGTTTAAAAGGAAAGCAAAGCCCAAAAGACACACTAAAAAAAGAAACTGTTCAATATCTTGAATAGTAATATACCCAAAATAGTTTAGTAATTTTCCAGTCAGTGAATGAGACCTCCATTAAAGTATAGAATACAAAAGTTTAAAACTTTTAAAACTGTATTTTTTTTAAGGGCCTACATAAGAGATGTTAAGAGCTGCTAAAAATCACCAGCAGTGGTGGCGCACGACGCCTTTAATCCCAGCACTCGGAAGGCAGAGCCAGGCGGATCTTTGTGAGTTCGAGGCCAGCCTAGTCTACAGAGTGAGATCTAGGAAAGGCGCAAAGCTACACAGAGAAACCCTGTCTCGAAAAACCGAAAGGGGAAAAAAAAAAAAAAAAAAAAAAAAGGTGCTAAAAATCTAGCTTTCGGCTTCCTTGTACCAGTTTTTTAAAGTGGTCCTATCTAGTCAACTGAAGAAATCTCACTTCAAAGATTTGACATTTATGTTTATAAATACACACAAAAATCTAATTCAACATTCATGCAGTAACTTCGAATCTTGGCAATATTCTAGTGTCATGTTTAAAAAGTTACTTACAATTATAATTTGCTTCCTAGTTTAAAACCAAAAGCTTCTACTTTTTCTTTTTTTTTTTTTTTTTTTTTTTTGAGACAGGGTTTCTCTATGTAGCCCTGGCTGTCCTGGAACTCACTCTGTAGTCCAGGCTGGCCTCAAACTCACAGAGATCCATCTGCCTCTGCCTCCCAAGTGCTGAGATTAAAGGTATGCACCACCACCGCCCAGCAAGCTTCTAGTTACTTTTTTAAGTAATTAGAAAACTAAAATTAACCTATTACTTTCTTCAACTCAATTACTATTATTTGAAAAAAAAAAATCAGCAAAGGGCTCAAGGCCCTGGATTCAACCCTACCACTGGGAAATACCAAAAATTCATTTGTCATCATGTGTATTCTCTTCAGTATTGAGAATAAAAGACAAAACAAACCAAAACCAATGTACTAGTTTATAAAGGACTAAATTGTGTCCACTATCCAAAATTTACCCACTGAATCCATAAACACCACTGTGACAGGATCTCCAAGTAAGGCTTTTCAAAAGACACTTGAGTTGAAGTGAAGGGGGATGCTCCTAATGGGATCAGTGACCATAATGGGACTAGAGCATGCACGTTTTGCCACATGAGGACACTAGCAAGACACCTTGACATGTACAAGCCAAGAGAACTCTCACTAGAACACACCCTGGCCTTGAACTTTGATTAATGCTGGTTATTATTTTTGGTATTTCATTAATGGTATTTTATTATTGCAGCCAAAACAAACCAAGGTAAAGCTGATTTTGTATGAAGGAATGCATGTGAGGCCTTGGAAATGGTTCAGAGGGTAAGGGCACCTGCTGCCAAATTTGAATTCCAACCCTGAAAACATCACATGATGGAGAGAGAGAGAGAGAGAGCGCAGACTGCCACAGGCTGTCCTGACTCCCATGGAGGAACACACATACACATAAAATTAAAATGGAAAGAGATACATGTGTATTTGTACACCAAGATAAACATCTTTCTGAATAAACCCTGATGTGCTGAGCAGTCTCAAGGACGCCGACACTGTCTTCTGCTCTTCCTTTACCCAGGGTTTCTGGTGTGTCTGCTTTCTTCTGTACCCACACCCATCTCTGTTTAGCACTGAATGTGGAGGTCACAGGGCAACTCTGTTCAGCCAGTTCTCTTCTCCCTTTACATGTGTTCTGGGGATCCACCCCAGGTAGTCGGGTGGGAGCAGCAGCACTTTCACTGGCCCCTAACCAGGATATTAAAAAACAGGTATTTTCCCCCAAAAGATTACTTTATGCCAAATAAAACAAGAAAAGAATTTACAGGGATCTGTGCCCTACAGAAACTGAATGCATAATTCATATTATATAAGCCTTAACTGGGAATTATTTAAGCATGGAAGTAATGTGCCAACAAACTGACCACAAAATCCAAGTTTGTTAAAATTTAGTTTGGTGGAAAGAATGAACCTAACACATGATTGTTTTTAAATTGCATACTGACAGAGCTCTATCGACTCTATACTTGCACAACTTTCCCTGATCAGTGTTTTTACCACTGCCTATAAATCATCCTGAATAAAACATGTAACACTTTGTTAAAAGATTTGATAAACCTACAAGAACGCACCCTAAATAACATATTAAAATCAGCTTAAGTCTCCGCCCATTTCAAATTACTCCAGAGGATGAGAGAAGGAAGGGGGAGGGGAGGAGAGAGAGGTAGTCATTTTGGAAAGATTCATTCAGTGGAAAAATAAGTATACCCAGATCTGTATGCTGGTATGAAGGGCCTTAAGGATGGTTTCAATTAAAGAGTTTTAATTCATTACACTGTAATAAGAATAAGGCGTGCTTAAATGTAGGAAAGAAAAAATGTATTATTTTTTTTAAATTACAGCTATTACTCCATGAATTCAATCTAGACGATTCGTTTCAAATTCACGAACCCGCATAAATATATTTTTTAAAAATCTGGAAGCAGACATGCCAAATTTACAACAGTAAATAGCACGAGTAGGATGGGGCGCACGCAGAGAGGAAGAGCCTCCACGCCGACTTCATTCGATCGTGTTCCGTTAACAACGTAATGGAAGGACTAGCAATCACCCATCAAAACTGGTTTTATTGCGGTGTTCCGGAAGTCCACAAATTTGCAAAAAGTTAGCACCATTACTGTCCTTTTGTCTGCTTTATGCTGCCACCCAGGTGGCGGGGGCGACAGCTGAGGAGCCGCACCGCACTCCCAACGGCGAACAAAGCCACCCGGGGCAGCAGGGGGCCGCGGGCCGGCCGGGGACCAGAACGGGCAGCGCCGGGTCCCGGCTTCCAGACCCCCGCCGCCGCCGCCGCCCGGCCGCGGGCCGCCGCGCACCGCCAACCGCCGCCGAGCAACGGCCGCCCGCCCCGCCCGCCCCGCCCGCTCGCGCCGGCCCGGCCCACCTGTTGGTCGCACTCGGGGCACGATTTGGTGGCCATCTTCACTTTCTTGGCTCGAGTTGCAGACATGCTCCCCTCCTCAGCAGCTGTGGAAGCAGCGCCGTAGCTCCGCTGCTCCACAGCGCGCTTCCTCACTCCAGCCGCGACCCGGCCGTGGAGGCACGCGTGCGCGTGCGCGGGGCTGCGTGCGGGGGGGGGGGGGGGGGGGGGCGCGGGGGCGCCGCAGCCCTTCCAGGGAACTCCCATCGACACGCCCTCTACGGCGGCTGACCGCGCGGGGGCGTGGCTTCGGCGAGACTCCACCAACCAACGCACCGGTGGGCCGGGCCGTGGTGCTGGGCACGCCCCCTTGCCGCCCCGCCGCCGCCCCCCCCCCCCAACTCGAGAACGAAAATGGATACTGGCAACGAATACCTCTGTATGTAAATGTCAGCAATGCTAATCCGTGAGAAATTATAATAGACAGTCGATGAAACCTCTAGGTACCCAGCGTCAAGGATCCAACGTTCATTATTCAATAAATAATTGCCTACGATCCACTATCAGGCACACTGAATAAGAAATATCTGCCTTCAAGAACAGTCTACAGTGCTTTGTTATTGGCTAGGGGAGGTGAGGCGCTGGGCGTGGAAAGGATGCCCTGTTTTGATTCAGTGTATCACTGATACTTATTAGATTAAAATTAAAATTAAATTATTTGAAAACTGAAACAAAATGCCACGCACTCCTGTAATCCCAGCTTGTACTGCTCTTGTTCAGATCTATAGTGGGAGAATAGAAGGATATTTTTAAAATGTACAGTTTGTTAAAGAAAGAAGCATGAGTTGGGTTTAAAGTTGCAGAAAAGGAAGAGGGAAGACACAAAGCATCCGCGTACTCTGTACCATAGGAAAGGTATCCTAAAGGCAAGACACCATATGTCAAAAAAAATCTAAACTTGTGAAAATGTAAATCCTTTTAAAAGAAGTGCTTGTGTGAATAGAATCCTGCCACAAAGGTTTGCTGCTCCAGAATGGCCCCCTAAGGAAGTCTCCAGGATCACCTTGAAGGAACACAAAAACTACTGCCACTTTGGATCAAAAGGACCAGATGACATCTGGAGCTGACAGCGTGTGGTCTTGCAAGCAAGGGAGATATATGTGTGATAGGGCCAATCGAGCCTTGTGCTAGAGCTGCAGAGACCCTGCAGTGTGTGGCAGGATCAAATTTCCTGAAGGGAGGCACTGAGAGACAGTTTTATGAAACTAGGAAGGTGAAACCTAAGTTTCAACAGAGACCCCAGATGTTAGAGATATCACAAGCACGGTACAACCACGGAGAAAAGCTATCAGCATGGGTCCAGAAGGGACATCACAGGATGTAGGCAGGATAGCTGGAAGACTGGCCTGTTTAAGGGTCTCAGATGAGTCCATGACAAAACCCAGATGCCACACAAGGAGCTGCAGGGTTTAGTGTTTGATCTGAAAGTTTGAGCATTGCTTTGGTTAGATCTTCCTTTGCTATGTTCATTCTCCCTTTTGGAAGGAGAATATTTACTCTGTACCATTGTGTATTAGAAGTATGTAGCTTGTTCTGGTGTTGGCTTTTGTTTTGTTTTATTTTATAATTTTACACAGGCTCACAGTTAAGAGTGTGTCCTGGGCCAGACAGTGGTGGCACACGACTTTAATCCCAGCACTTAGGAGACAGAGGCAGGCAGATCTCTGAGTTCAAGACCAACCTGCTCCACAGATCGGGTTCCAGGACAGCCAGAACTATACAGAGAAACCCTGTCTTGAAAAACAAAAACAAAAACAACAGCAACAGAGTGTGTCTTGAATATCAGAAGAGATTTAGACTTGGGGAATGTGATTATAGTTAGACATAGGGTCTTAAGTAGGCTGGGCCAGCCTCAAACTCACTGTATAGCTAAGTATGAGTCTGGTCTTCCTGCCTCTACCTCTAAAGTGCTGGGACTACAGTCATGTGCCACACCTGGCTTCCACTTTGGACTTTTAAACACTTTTGGGACTGTCAAGACTTCAGTGACTTTTAGAGAGAGATTAAATGAACTTTGAATTATGAGATGAGCATGAGAGAGTTAATGAATGTGGTCTCTGGTCCCAGGTGGAATAAAAGGGAAAATGTTGGGGAATATTATTTTAAGTTGTGTTACTATTATATATGTTACATTTGTTTAACTCTGTGAAGCTGTGTTACTGTGTCTGTCTAGAACACCTGATGGTCTAATAAAGAGCTGAGCAGCTAATAGCAAGTCAGGAGAAAGGATAGGCAGGGCTGACAGGCAGAGAGATTATATAGAAGGAGAAATCTGGGAGGAGAAAAGAAGTAGCCAAAGGAGGAAGAGGAGGAGGAAGAAAAGGATATCAGGGACCAGCCACCCAGCTACACAGCAAGCCACAGAGTAAGAAACAAAAGTATACAGGAATAGAAAAGGAAAAAGCCTAGAGGCAAAAGATAAATGAGATATTTTAAAGTTAAGAAAAGCTGGCAAGAAACAAGCCAAGCTAAGGCCAGGCATTTATAATTAAAAATAAGCCTCCATGTGTGATTTATTTGGGAGCTCGGTGGTGGGCCCCCTAAAAGAGTAAAAAACAACCAACAACATTATGGTGTACCAATGTGGAGCTCAAATTTCTATAGTGCCTGAAAAAGCTTTAAAAAAAATATGGCTCCTTTAAGAGTTTTTGCCTGCTGACAAGCCCTTGAGCAGCCAATATCTTAAGTAGGAACAAAAAACTAAGTAAAAATTCCTACCACAGTGCAAGTCATCAGCATTCTAGAGCTCTAGGAAGGTTGAATGCAGTTCTCAGCACAAACATCTGTCCTACTGCAAGTTTCACACTTGGCTTTCATGGCCTGAGAAGCGGGCAGAGCCAGCTGAGAGCTGCATGTGGAGGATCCAGGTGTTAAAGGTTTGCTCACTTGGTGAAAAAAAAACAGCTGAAGATACACAATAAAAGAGATCCAGATGAAAAAAACTCTAAACAGATTACAGTATGTTTAACAATGTGCATAGGCTTAAGAAAAGAAAAAGTTTAAAAATAACAATAAAGTCTTGAAAGAGAGAGTAAAAGTAATACAAAAGAAAAAAGTCATGTAAGATAGGAAATATACAGGGAGTCTAGATCCTAGATGTTATTGTGTTGATTTTGAATTTTTTGATTATTGAAAAGCAAATGATAGCTGCAAAGAGACCTGGAATTGAAATAGGGACTGTTGAAATAATCAGCCTATATACTTTAGGACTGCCTTAACTTTTAATAAATCAAAAAAATTGTCAAATGGAAATCAAAAATGCTTTGGAGTTTTGTTCCCACAGGAGATGAGAGCCTGTGGCTTCCTTCAGGGTTAATATGGATCTGGTTTGATCAGGTGAAACCTCCTGAAACTTGACAGGTGATATCTATCAGCAAAGATTATTGCTGGTCTTCCTAGAACTTGGTAACTATTTTAAAATTCTCTCTCTGGGACCCTAAAGATACTTTGTCTACAGACACCAGAAAGCAGTTTGGAGAACATGACCAAGAGGGGTGTGGGAGGCTTTTGGTTATTTGGTGGGTTATGGATGTTTGTTATCATTTAGGGGAATATGGTATATTGATACAAATTTAAAGTTATTTTTGTTACATTGTATATATGTTCTAGTTGTTTAAAGGATTTTTGTATATTGATACAAATTTAAGGTTACTTTTGTTACAACATATTGTATATATGTTTCTATTCTTGTTTAAAGTATTGTACCTATGCAGTTTATTTTAAAATGTAAGATAAAATTCTAGTTTTTAAAAGCTGTTATTATAAACTATATAGGATAATCAGGAAACATAGGTCAGTGGTGAGTCATTTATAACAATCAAATTTGTAGATATGTTAGGTATGCTTTCCAGATCATATAGATAGATGGTCTTCAAACCTTTCAAAGACCTACAGAATATGGCATTCAAAATAGTTTGTTAACATAAAGTTTTTCATAGCAATGAAACACATCTGTTCCTGGCAGCACCAATTTACTTCAGAGATGATGAGCATTGAAGAAACGCCATAGGAATTTGCTTTCATTGTGGCAAGATTAGCCATTTGGACAAGAAACTGCTTTTGTCTTGACTGCTGTGCAGACTGAACATGCAGGACACACAGGAAAAAGACTGTTGAACTTTGCCAAAACAAGGCAGGACTTCAGATGTCCTGCTTCAAGCCAGGCAGCAGTGGTGCACACCTTTAATCCCAGTACTTGCGAGGCAGAGCCAGGTGGATCTCTATGAGTTCAAGGCCAGGCTGGTCTACAGAGCGAGATCCAGGACAGGCACCAAAATGACACAGAGAAACCCCGTCTTGAAAAACCAAAAAAAAAAAAAAAAAAAAAAAAAGGAAAAGAAAAAAGCACCAAAAAAAAAAAAAAAAATTCCTGCTTCACTAAAATGTTTGCCAGGTATTCTGGGCCTGTAGGCTGAAGATGGATGCCCCAACATTGCAGAGGAACTCTGGGTGACTGTTCAGGTAGCCACATATCTCTGTTGTTAAATAATATTATATCCTTCTGGGTCTTTGATGGAGTTAAAGACTAAATAGTTAAAGTTGCAGTTTTTCCTTGTTATGATAGAAAGTAAGTTAGGTGTAAAACTTTGGACTCACTAAGATAGGATAGATAATGCATTATTTTCTTTGAATATGCTAACTACAAATGGACAGAATATTGTAAATGTAATTCTTACTTGATAACTATTTTTGTTATATGTAGTTATACTATATTAAAGTTAAAACTTTTCTTTTTAGTTAGACAAAAAGAAGGAAATGTTGGGGAATATTATTTTAAGTTATATTACTTTTGTTTATGTTTTATTTGTTTAACTCTGTGAAGCTGTGTTACTGTGCCTATCTAGAACACCTAATGGTCTAATAAAAAGCTGAATGGCCAATAGCGAGGCAGGAGAAAGGACAGGCAAGGCTGGCAGGCAGAGAGACTATATAGAAAGAGAAATCTGGGAGAAGAAAAGAAGTAGCCAGAGGAAGAAGAGGACATCAGGGACCAGCCACCCAGTTACACAGCAAACTATGGAGTAAGAAACAAAGAAAGGTGTACAAGAATAGAAAAGGAAAAGCCCAGAGGCAAAAGATAGATGAGATAATTTAAAGTTAAGAAAAGCTGGCAAGAAACAAGCCAAGCTAAGGCCAATCATTCATAATTAAGAATAAG